TTTTATACATAATGTATAACGAAAGTAAAAACAAAACCTTTTAATATCCACCTATTAAAACACAGAAACAAGTAAGCTTAAAATTGCAACTTTGTTTTATTTATTTCCAAATAATGCACATACTATTATATATTTTTATAGTCCCTTTCTTGTGTAATGTACAGGCGAGTTTCCGTGTCATAAATCTCTTATACCCAAAATAGTAAAGGTCTACAAATATATGCGTACCTCGGATAAATTTCAGGAGACCGTTTAGAAATGTTTTTAGTATTACTTTAAGGATCATTTCATAATTTTTGGTAGACCTAGTTATGACAATGACATAAAAAGGAATAAAAGTAAATTAATACAGTAATATTATACGCACTCATATGAAAACCTAACACAAACGAGGTACACTTAGATCTGTCAGAAATAATCTAATTTATATATATACTATATTTAATTTATCAAAAAATTAAGACACAAAAATTTCCCTTCATTTTATTTTAAAGAGTAGCTATAGGATATATCAGATACTTTGTTGTATTTTCCCTTAAGCGACAGTATATTGCTTTTTATATAAATATGCATATACCTAATAGTTTGACTGCAGTTAGAAACCTCGTAAAAAAAAAATAACAAACCTTTTTTTCACATTAACTAAGTATATTTAAAAATCATAGCTTTTTAACATTAAACTTATGAGTTTTCAAATCTTCATAAATACAAAAACCCATAACTTTCTGAAGTAGAATATAATGAGATTTATTTTGAAGTTTTTGATCAATATAAAAAAAAATTGTTCTAAAAACATAGAGACGCACAGTATAGTTAATAAATTAAAACTTAAAACTAGTGAACATTGATTAAATATACATAGTTTGCCATATTATACAATTTTCAGACCACCGTACGATTACAAAATTCTACTGAAATCAGTTCATATAATATGTATATAGTTGTGTCGACTAAGTTATAAGGTTAGCTGTAACATGTACTCGGACGTACAGGCCGCTGAATTAATGACTTAACTAATACGAAATCCGATAGTGCAAAACGTTCAATTATAATCGACGCTGGAAGTGACTGGAAACATATCGACGTTAGCTATTGGATCGACACTTAAATTTATAACTTACCAACCTCTGTGTTGTATTGATTTGAAGGGAGTTTAGTATTGTGGGGTTTTATGAGCAATTAGTATGAGAAAAATAGAGATTTGTAACAGAAAAACTGCCTTTTAAAACACAAAATTATCGCTGCTCGTTGCTTTTAATAAGTTTTTTCAATAACGAATCACGTATTGTCTTGGTTACTATATTACAGTTGAAGTACAAATTATTACCCATAGATAACTACTAAAAATAACATATCAATATGTTTCATAGGCAATATTGGTTCACAAATACTGATCTATGGATAACTCAATGAATGCTAACTGTGTATGGCGCGGCGCTTGCAAAATATATTTCATATCTATTTCTGGCGTAATCAAATAGTGTTTTTAAAAGAAACAATCTTATAATGAATGCTTTCAACTGTATAACACATTTATTCACATATAAAATAGAAAGAGCATATATATGAATACCAATATATGTAGTACGAGGTATGTTATTCTAACTATGTACTAGATACTTCCATCCATTCAAATTCTCTTTTATATCTTATACACACGTACGTTCCATTTCTTTCAAACAATATAAAAGTCTTTCATATTGAATTCAAATCAAACTATGATATATGGATATAGTCCACGATTTATTACATAAGATTTTCTTTGCAGAAACTATGAACATTCATAAAGGTTTCAACTTTCAATATTGTATTTACTAACAGGAAATATATTAGGTAATATTCTCTTGTATTCCAAGTATAACTTGTAAGATAACCAAATAAGCGTAATTGTTAAATGAATTGAATTCCAACACAATTTTTTATCCGCGTCACGTAAGTCACTGAAAGGATTTTCGAAAGTACTGTTCAGAGAGAGGCGTCACGTCTCAAACATCGGAAGATCATTATGATAAATAAAAAACTTCACTGAATCGCTACTTCACTTTTTTATTTGGAATTCATTCTTTATCTCACGCGACCTGAATAAATAAAATTCTTCGTTATAAAGATCTTTATAATGTAATTAAAATAATTATCTAAGCTCCCATTTTTTACACCTTTTATCGCGATACTTGCAAAATAAAGTGTCAATTACAAATAAGACTTGGTTATTATAAGTGACTGCTGTCAGCTTCGATTGGGTCCATTAAAATTATAACGAGTAATTGAGATATTATCGATAAGGAGTAAATAACTTATAATATATATAAAATAAAAGTGATTATTTTGATGCTATTAGTTTAATTTTGTACCAAATATAATTGACTCTTAAATTTAATAAAGAATATGTTTACGCCACTAATATTAAGAATTTTTATATTTATTTTAGGTATTTATCTCTAAAACATAACATGATTCTCTTTCACAATAATTTGTTACTGAATTGAAAATCTGAAATTTAATATGAACTTCTCTGTTACTTTTCGATAAACCTTAGCTTACTGCATTTTGTATTCAAAGAAATATAAACCTAATAAATAAATTTAATATCATTGAAAATCTGTTTAAAACTACTAAATTTCCACTTAATGTAAACTAGAATGAAAGAAATGTTAATTCGTAAGATATAATAAATAATTTCGTTAAATTTTAACACAACCACAGATCAATTTAACATTGAGACAAAACTTAGCCAATTAGATGTGAATTTTGATTTCAAGTCAAGTCAAGTGTAATTTACACGTTCTATATACAGAAGTTCCTCAATTACCTAGCTTCGTCTGTCTGCCTTTGTTCGACCGTTGGTTCCAGTTAGTTTAGGAGCTATAATCGAATGTGTGCATCCACCGTGAAAGTCGTATTCGAACAGTTTATAATTTGGTTATCCAAAAACCAAATGTCTGCGGTTTTGTTAACATTTACATTGATATTGATATTGAATATTATATTACGTTTATTCATATAACAAATATAACTATTTTATTTATATAATTATATATATGCTTAAAGTAAATATTGATGATAATTTAATAATCTCGTAGATTCATGTTACTAATGACAATGATACAACTTAGTCGTTAAAGAATGTTTAAAATAACAAATTATATAATAATTATTATTATTGAAAAATATTTAATTTGGAAATTATTTATGTTGGCAAGCGGAAATACGAAACTTATTTACATGTAGACTATAATGAGAATTACATATTAAAACTTATAACTCAGACTACATGATTGCCCCGATGTTAGGATAGCAATACCATTCCATAGCTTTCGTGGTATCGGGGATCTTCTTGGCTTGGTGTTCGTTCCGCGGAGTCAGCAGCGTCACTCGTTAAATAAATATTTTATCTATACAACGATGTCGCCCCGGCGATGTGCATTTATTTTTTTAATATATTGTCCCTACGTACCATGGAGCTAAACAAAACAAAATATAATCAGAGTAACATAATAAACAATTGAATAGTCTATATGTAATATAAATAAATAACACTTAAAAACATTAAGCCTTTTTATAATTCAATAAAAAATAAATAGCTTTATAAATGAAGACATATAAGTCAGTGGTGGCTCAGTGGTTAAAGGGCCCGCCTCTCGGCCTCTCGTCGCCGAGGGCGTGGGTCGATCCTAACCCGGGCAAGTACCAATGTGATTTTTCGGAATCATATGTACTTTCTAAGAGTATTTAGACATCACTGATTAATGTTGATTCCCAAAAGAGGGTTGATGTCAGGCAGGCGGCCGGTCGTAAAAAACAAATAGCCAAAAATTATTCATAACATGTCAGGCAGACCCTGGCTATAGCTGGGAAATTGCCAGGTAGAAGAAGAAGAAGAAATGAAGACATATACACTAAAAATTTGGACAAACTGTGATATACAAAGTCATCCCACACACTCATTTGAAGTATCACTCTCTCTTATACATAAATTAATTTATAAAATATGTTATTATACTATAAATTACTTTTACTTTACTAAAAGTAATCACACTGTTTTCATCATTTACTTAATAACCTGCTTTTACCCAATATTCATTAATATACATATATAGTATTAGTAATATTTTTTTAATAGCCATAAAATATATGACAGAAACTGATGATTACAATAATATTATGTAAATAATCCCTCATATTTGATACACAATGTAATAACGTCGTAACGCGAGGCCCCGTGTGGGCCGTGAAGCCTAGATTAGGCCTCCCGTTGTGGCAGGGCCCGAAATTATACGTACAAGTTAATAAAAGATATCCAATCTTAGATGCGTACCATAAACATTACGTATTTCTAAGATAGATGGATAAATATGGATAAAAGATTTTTTTACACAAATATCCTATAATAAGAACATCAGTAGGACCGTCTGTATAAATAAAAATCGAAAAATTATTTAACCTAGAAAACAACAAATTTCAAGCCTATTTAATTAAATAGTTTACAGAAACTTAACAAATAAAAAAGACAAAAATTAAACGGCGTATGTATTTAAATAGAGTAGTTTTACAGAAAAATAATCACAACAAATCGTTTAATAAAGAGATCTAAGATTTTCGCGAGTACTCATTTCGTCTGTCCGTGATCACAGTTGCTGTAAAGTAGCCGAAACGTCGGGAGTATGTAGTTAATAATCAAAAATAAAATCCGAAAATATTAGTTCCATTTAAAATCGTTTAATATTATTAATAATAATTAACCATTGATTTGTATTGTAAAACTCCTTCCTTAGAAGTATTTGAAGTTATTATAGGAACTAAACTAAACACATAGAAAACAAAAATAAAACACCATATTTAAATGAAATTGTTTTACAGAAAACACGAACAACAACTAAGCCTATTCAACTAAATAGTTTACCAAAACAAAATTACAGAAAATCATTTTAATTATAATATTAAAAATACTTTACACTATTTGGAGCTCTTTCAATATTCTTCATTATCTTAAACTTCTCAGGATGATTTCAACATCAGTGATCATCATGCTTGTGTTTGGAGCCGCTGTCTGCATGCCGGAGACAGCCAACGATCATGAGCATCAAGATGTTCACGAGAATGTGGCGTTGGAGAAACGATCGCCACACTATAACTTTGGCCTCGGGAAACGCGCGTACAGCTACGTATCGGAATACAAAAGGCTGCCTGTATACAATTTCGGATTAGGAAAACGGTGAGAGTTATAATCTTCTTTTTATATAAAGTACCCTTAAAACTATGTCTTTAGTTTAAATGAACTAAATTAGACCTAACAAAGTAAAAAAGGGAATAATAACAGATATTCGCAATTAATAAATGTACAAAATGAAGAGTTTTTAATTGAAAATACACGAAAAATAATAAATCTTCAGCTTAATGTTATGTATTAGATGAAAACTTTTTAATCTCAGGAAAACATATAACTTAACATAACTATTAACTATATATTCAATATATGTTGATTGTGAAATTCAAAAGCAAAACGAATTTATTTAATGTTTTTATTTTAATGACCAGAATTGTATGATTATACTGATTACTATTGTTTTTGTTAACTAAAGATCCCGCCCGTACTCATTCGGTCTCGGCAAACGTTCAGTTGAAGACGATCAGAGCGATGAGGAGTTCCCAATGGAAATTGATCAACCTACTTTGACCGATATCTTTGAACAGTATGACGAAATGCCAGGTAAATTTATCAATTACTTTTCCAAGAAACATTTAATATTTGGGTCATATAATTTAATTATTGTTTTAACAGTATACGAAGCAAAACGAGCACGCCCATACAGTTTCGGTCTCGGCAAACGGCTATCCGAAAATACTGATGACGTAGACGAGAAACGAACCCGCATGTACGACTTTGGACTTGGAAAACGACCTCAGTTATACAGTTTTGGTTTGGGGAAACGAGCCAGGAACTACAATTTCGGTCTCGGTAAACGTTACAGCGGCAAATTCAACTTCGGTCTTGGAAAACGGGAGAGGGATCTCCACAGGTTTAGCTTCGGTCTAGGCAAAAGATCGGCGGATTCTATCGACGACACCGACAATTACATGGACGTTTAGATGTATAACGATATTTGAATGGAAACTTGTGTGGAATCTGAGCTGAATATACCGTTACATACAAAACTCGTTTCATTTATCACTTTGAATTCATCTATAGTTTGTCCATTACAAAATCATCAATGACTTAAAAGTTTAATTGTGAAAATGACAGCCGATTTTCACAATTAAATGTTCATAAATATTTTTTAACATTCCACGTAAGTTTTCATATAATGTACATTATATAAAATCGATTTTGAAATTATTATTAAGTGAATATAATTTTCTTTGCATATTTCTTAAAGTAGTTCGCTCTTTTAACAAAATGGCCGATAAATGTTTAAATATAATCCATTATATGTAAATTACTGTTAATGTAGTCTTGTGTAAGATTATCAATGTAAGTTGCTTATTTGTAATAAAAATAATTTGGAGCTTCTAAAATACATTCCATCAGTTTTAACTTTGTGTGCCAAATGTCTATTCTCTTTTGTCTCATATTTATTTTGATAATTTAGTCAGTTAGTCAAACAAGCTATAGCTGTAGTTCATTAAAGGAAATTACTTTATCCAAGACTTGTAAGATGTTTTAATTATAAATGTTAATTATGGAAGTGATGAAATATATACAAATAATAGAAGATTGCATCATTTCATTGTTTTCTTCATCACCTGAATTTTTCCTTGAAGAATTATTTAATAAACTAAAGGTGCGGGTTCAAAACCTTACACGTGTCATAGTGATTTCTACGAGTCATATGTACTTTCTAAGAGTATTTAGACATCATTGACAGACGGTGAAGGAAAACATCGTGAGTAAACCCTGACTTATAATTTACAATTATAAGTTTGAAGCTGCCAAGCTGGCTTGAGCATGCGTGGTGATTAATGCTCTAACCTTCTCCATGTGAGAAAAGGCCTTTGCTCAGCAGTGGGCTCCGTTAGGCTGATGTTGATGAAACTAAAGCATAGTTTAAAAATTTACAAACCTATAGATATCCCAACCAAATGATTACAACTATGATTAAACTTAAACGTTATTTCTATATAAATAACTCTATAAACTTCTCATCTTAATACTACTATCAGAAGTAATGTCTAAAACAGACAACTAGAATTATTTCCTATATTCGTTATAGATTACCTTCGTCTTTTATAAGAGTTATACTAAATGTTAAAGGTAACCATATACTGTATCATGTATTATTCTTCTTAGAAAAAGGTCCATTCTATATCTAAGGTTGTTAGTGGAACAATTGATAGTCTCCGGATCATAAAGAACTGAAACGATCAAAGCACGAGGATGCCAACTTCCGGTGATTTGTAACCGTTTTGACAGGAAGTCGTTTAAAGAACTTTTACTTGAGAAACTCACAATAATATATATCAGATATTCTGAATTGAAATTATGTTATATCAAACAATAAGACGAAACTAAATTTTTACTTTTACTTTTTACTTCTTAAAAGAGATAAACCTTAAATAAATAAGTAGACAGTGCTTTTTCATACTTCCTTTGTACAAATTCAAACAATTATTAAGAAATATATTTGAAAAACATTTAAAAGATAATTATCAGAACAAAAAATTAAAAAAAACTATATATATGTATTTATATACAAGTAACTATTTCGAGAAACTGAAAGTAATGTTTAAATTTAAGTTAAATTCCAAACTTTCCTTAAACAACATATCACGTCGCAAGCTAAGAATGTTTTACCAAATCTATTTACATCTTCGAGGTTAGTAACATTTAAACCGATGTAATTATTACGTCTAATCGAGTCCAAAATTTCCTCATTACCGCGAAATATCTTTTTGAAGCTACTAAGAGTCTTCTTTTCTGTGATAAAAAAAAATACTTATCTAATTTCAATTTAATTTTGGAGTGAGTTTGATCTATCTATCTTATTCGTTTTATACTGAGCTGAGTTAAATTTAGTAAACATTACTGATCTTAAAATATCTTTGAATAAATCTAAAGACAATTTTGAAGTATTCTTTTGATCCAACATAATTTTGTTATGTAGCCACTTAAACAGGAGAAGATTTAACGAAAACGTGTACAAACATTACAAAGATAAGGCTTTTAACGACTTATTGAATTACAAAAAAAAAAGATTATATAAGAAAAAAATATTATAAAATTTACAAGAAGAAAATTGCAACTGAATTTTATCTTGAAAAAAAATTAACATTTAAAAGTGGAACCCAATATCTGATGTTAAATTTAGATAAGAAAATAGCAAGATTTGAATCTGCATGCTTTTGGAATTCCACGTTCCTGTGGTTTTACCGATTCAAGTATAGTGTGAAGTAAGCAGTCTATATATGTAACTTTCATATAGGTATGAACAGATTTTGGATAGAAGGATAAAAGAGGTGCCATATGTTAGATTCGTATGAAAATCATTATTAATTTTATTTGTTAAGTAGCTGGAATATTCCGAATGCGTTGTAAATTTTTTATTTCGTATTTGTACTTGTAAATTTTTTATTTCGTATTTTCTCTTTTTAAATTCAATTTAATTGCTAACTTTACATCGACTTAATGCTATGAACATTATAAAATATTTTACAAGCTAATATTTTCTATAGATTTTATTGATTTTCTATACACCGATTTTATCTCTGAGATTGTAGGGATGTTCATAACCGTAAGCCTTCGTTACCTTTATCAGAGATCTTTAATAAATATCTATCAAAAATCAATCGAATCCGATAAAGAGTTCATAAAGACGATATAGGAAATTCAGGATAGGATTTTTCCTGGTGACTATAATATTTTTCCTGATAAGTATACTATATACTTGTAATGTAGCATCTTTAAACAAAACAGACACAAGAAATGGTATGACAATTATTTAAGAACACAACGTTGTTAACTTTGTGAAAAAAAATTTAGTAATTACGCAAAAAAATATAACAATCAATTGTTTATTATCTATAAAGTGACTAAACTCACAAAACACAAATCAAACATTTTTATCTAAAAGTATAATAATTAAAATCTAATATGCTTATGTAAAAAAAAATATTATATTCACGACAGAATATCGTTTTATATTTAAATTATATTTATAAAAATACCTAAGACAAGAGGACATAAAATATATTTTAATGTTTAATCCCTTTGTAAATATTGTTTCTCCCGATTCTCTATAAATAAAAGCAGAGCATGGCCTATATACTGAAGAAAATATACTGTACCACTTTTTTTATTTTTGTGGCATATTCAAAATATTTTATTACTTAAACTCAGCTTAGGAGCATGGAAAGCATTGGGGAACATAATATGTTAAGAGTACAAATAAAGTGAATAAAACTTTCCTTACAACAGTGAGAATGGAAAATTGACTTGTAAGTTGACGTACAAAACAGTTTCACACCGTCAAACTAAGCCATGAAAATAATATTTATTTCATAAATAAATATTTGATATTCTTTATCCAGGAAAATATTATATTATTTTATGAAATGTACTTTGAATAATCCACGGATCGATGTTACCCTGTTTTCCATAGATTATATCGGGGTATTTGGTAAATGATAACACGATAGGATTCAATATTTATATTATTTTTTATGAATAATAAAATCAACTGGATGGACACAGCATGGTTGGAATTATCATTGTCTTAGAAATTGAGAAGGAGAAGGTAAGTTTTGTCTTAGGTGTATATATAAAACAGAAATTATCTTGTTAGCTCCCAACTAAATTCAGTCAATTCCGCTTATGATCTTAAATAACCTGTGATGATGAATAATCTTAAATAATGAAATAATATGGCTTAACTACAATGACAAATAACTACTTATACAAATATTTCTTTTCCTAATTTGGCTATCAAATTTTTTGAATATATTTCTAAAGTGCAAAAGCGTTTTCATCTTTATAAGCTACTAGCTTTCCGCCCGCAGCTTCGCCGCGTGGAGTTCGGTTATATCGCGTTTCCGAGAGAACCTTTCAAAAGTCTGGGATAAAAACTATCCTATGTTCTTTCTCAAGGTCAACTCTATCTCTGTACCGAATTTCATTAAAATCAGTTCAGTGGTTTAGGCGTGAAAGCGTAGCAGACAGACAGACAGACAGACAGACAGAGTTACTTTCGCATTTATAATATTAGTAGGGATGTATAATTAACATGACAATGTTCCACAATATTTACAAATAATTTATAAAACAAATATAATTTGCTCCCGCCTTTGAGTATATTTGAAAACCTTTTTAAATTGACACAACCTTAAAACAAACAAGCTGGTACTCGTACCTCTAAAGAGTTTGTTAATTTGAATAAAATAATTGTGACACCAACGCAAGAATACTAAAGAAAGGTAGTTACTATAAATATGTATATGTACATAATTTGTCTTAGTATTGTATACATTCAACAAAACTTTAAAAAGAATCAGCAAGAAAATATTAACAATATAAATAAATGTAATATAAATTTATAACGCTTTCAAGATAATTCAAAAGAGCTATATTTACAGTGACATTTATTAATAGATGTCTCTTTAGAAACAACTCTCGACACTACAATATTATATTATAATGTAGAAGCTACATATATGTAATGAATATTATTTTTTTAAATCACCGTAACATAATCATAGAGAGTGTTAACAAAAAGAAATATTAATAAAAACTGTCAAAGAAGAAACCGTTTATACTACAAGTAAAGTGTATATTAATTTATTTTTTGTGTCAAAAACGGCTATCCAGCAGAGGATCTATATGATTTAGGGTAGTCACCGTAGCCCATGGAAATCTGCAACATTCCTTACGTCGCAGATGCATCACTGATCTTAATTGTGGATGAAGGAGACGAAACGTTGGCAAAAGGGAACCGGCTATCTCACACTTCAGACGAAACTCAGCCATTAAAGGCTACTTCACGCCGATTTTCTGTGAGAGGGTGGTATGTCCCCGGTCGAGCTAGCCCATGCTCAAGCTTTTTTTTTTTTTTTTTTACTTGGAGGAATCCTATTACGGACTTCCCGTACCTGGGCAAATT